TACATATTTTGTTCTTTATTGTTAATTATTTAATTGAGTTTAGTTTTCTAACAAAACGTAAATTTGAGTTCTTGATATGAAACTAAATTTTAGTTTTCTATTATTATTTTAATTAGATTATGTTTAAGTTTAGATTCTAATAAACAATATTTTATTAAAATTTTATTAGTTATATTTGAGTTTAGATTAAAAGTATATAATATTTCATTAAATTTTAATTTGAAAAAAAATTTAAAACAAAATATCATTTAATAATTATGTAAGTATAAATTTGCGAGTTATTTGGTACCTATCGTGTTAAGTATCAAGTATAAGTTTTTAAATATATGAACAAATGTAAAGCTTAAAAAATCATATCTAAAAATTTTTAAATTAAATATTAAATATATTTCATACTTAACCTGTATCAAAAAAATGCTCAACCCTACTCTTCAGCTGCTGCGTATGTTAAAGTTCAGCGTACATTCATACGCGTAAGCCAGACGGCCCACATCTCTTGACCATATGGACATGCAAAGAACAATTGCTCAACGGCATCAACCCAGCCCATTACCACATTTGAAACACACCTCTCCTTCTCCATAGACAATCCACGAGCACTTCGAAACCTTGGGAAAAATACCTGCTTGCCACACTACTCTGCCACTGGACTCTGCCTCTTTTGTCTATGATTTCTTCATAGCACTGACTATCTATAGAATACTTTCCATTCCATGCTAGTTTCCAAACTACCAAATTAGGATAACTAACTTTTGCTATAAAAAAAATTGTATATAATATCAATTAGTTTTAAATTAAATATTTGTTTTATGTTTTGGTCACATATATACAATTTTTCATATAATATCAAAATTAAAATTTTATTCTTTAAAAACCCTAAATTCCCATGACGAATCAAGCATGCATGCATGTGAATGAAGTAAGAAAGTTGTATTAAGTCTCTATAGCATGAAATTTACATTACAAGACTCAAAGTTATCATGTTCTCGAGAAGCCCAAGTTCCACATGACTAATCAAGCCTATATGTGAGGAGTATATTAAATCAATGCTTACCAATTGAGATACATGTTATAAATCAACTTTATATGTAAGAAACTAAGATTGACGTATTAAGTCCATAACCCAAAATCCACTTGAAGGACCTAAAGTTAAAATCAATTTCCTCCAAGATTTTTGCTGATTTAAAAAAAAAAAAAATTCCTCCTTCCAAGATATTGCATAATCATCACTCAGGTGAAATGCATTAGAAATTTAAATTTAATGATAGTTGAAAGTTAAATAGCTAGAATCAATGATGTTGGATGCACTTTCGAACATATAACATATTAGTGTTTTAAGGTTTTATTGATAGGTATACTTTGAAATGTACAAGATGATGGAAAAACATACGAAGATATACCGCGTCAATATTCATAGCCTTCACCCACCCACGTAGTTTAGGTTGAGAACTATTTTTAATGCTAAAAAATCTTGGCATCATCTAACACGTTAGTAATTTAAATTTCAGTAACATGATTTGTATAGGAAAATTCTAACAATGAAATTAATGGTAGTTGTTGACCGATTGACCATTTACAAATGTGAGCCAAGTAGGTAAAAATGGACAAAAGATCAGAAGGCTAGAATATATATTGCAGGGTAAAACAATTGGTGAAGGGCGTTAGGTGGGAGAATTTGGGTGAGGGTAATGTTGTTGAATAAACTCTAGAAGGATATAGTGTGAGCAGGTAATTTTGAAAGATTTTCCAAGATTAAAGGATATACGTGTGGACGTTTAATTGGAGGAGGCTTTATTTGGTATGGAGTGAGAGGAGGAAAAGGA